TGTACCACTATCAGCTACTTTGGCTTGTCCCATACGAGAACTCCTTTCAGCTTTACTGGACGAAACTTTTTTGACAACTTTCTTTATCATTCCTTTTTGAACACTTTTATTATTAAAGGATATGTTTTTTTAAATCAAACCCCTTATGGGGTGTGACTGCATTTTCCTGTGTGTATGTGTTCAGGAAACCGAAGCAGGGGCACCATGGAAATGAGGGTTTCATTCCGACTCTCGATGAGGTAAGCAAATCATTAGCAGAAATAGTCTCCTCTGATGACCCTTCAGGCTTTATCACAAGTGTGTACAAAATTGGACGCCGTGTGGAGATCTTTTGTACGTCGAATATACAATTTCCCCAGGGCATACACAGCAGGGGACATTAATGAAATTCAACACTCTGGAGCAAGGACAAATGTTTCTTTCTAAACAGATGAATCTTGAAGACCAAATTGCATTACGGCCAGAGAGATATGTGGCCGGTTGGGAAGAAGCCAAGGGGCTTAAGGGTACTTTTATCCAGATTAATGAAAGGGTTCAGGAAGCAGTGCAACAATCACCCTTTCCTCTCAATCTCGAACACTATGTCCTATTTCCTTGCCTCGTCACCCATCTTGATCATTGGATAAAAATTCACAAGATGGAGAGTGCGCGTACTTATAATGATTTTGCATTCAACATTTTGGGGTTAGTAATATTTTATTTGACATCTCCTCTTGTTAATGGCTAGCTATGCTACTGGACATTACTTATTCTCAAGTATTAATTTTTTTTTATTTGTAATTGCACCCATAAATATTACTAAGGCTCTAGCTGATTGTCCTCATATCCATGGTAATCTTCGAACTGGATGATCGAACTTGATGCAAGGATGCTCATTTAATCACTATCAATTTTTTCTTGTCTTATTTCACTAAGGGGTGTGATATCCACACATCCCTTTTTACTTCTCTCACACCTTTTTGGCTTTCGGCCGTCGGATCGGATGAATTAAAGAAGATTAATTGACAGAAATTAACAAAGGGTGTGTGAGAAGTAAAAAGGGGTGTGTGGATAGCACACCCATTTCACTAAAGGTCAATCACAACAAGTATGGCACAAGGATTCTGATGATCTCTGTTATCTCATCGACCAAATATATGAAGGTCGGAAGTTGGACGAGTCGACGACTGTTCGTATAGAAAAGTACAAGTCTTTCCTCCAAAGAATCACAAATTCTGTTAATATTCGTCATGAAGGCGGGAAAATCAGCAACATAAGTTTAGTGAGGTTCTACATGTTCAGTAATTCAACCGTCTGGAGCAGCAAGGAAAAGGTGCAGCTAATTGCAAACGTTTACAGACTCCATAAAGATGAGACCTTTGATATAGTTAGGGCGTTCACAGCTCAATTTGGTAATTGGAAGTATGATGACTGGCAAAATAAAGTGGACAACCATGTCGTTTTCAAGGCTGTGAAAATTATCAACAGAACAAACGCCGACTCCGCCAAGGTAGAAGTCCTCAGAATTCCAATTCCCGTTTATACAACTGCAGAAAGTTGGTTATTGTATGTGCACAACTGTATGAAGCACTACTGGGAACATGCAAAGCGGTTACAAAAGGTGAGTCTCATCACCCTACAAAATTAATACCTACTTGTCAGCATGCATCTTCTAACCTTTTCTTTTCTTTTAAATAAACAGAAAGAACATGGAACAAGTCGAGTACTGGAGAAGTTGACAAAGCTGTTTCCTACGCTGATTGAAGACATGTATGCGGGGTTGGCCCAGGCTCTATATGCTGATAAAGTTAGACATCCTCGGTTCATGTCAAGGGAGATAGTGAAAGGGGTAATCGCGGCATGAGAAGCAAAGACATTTCAAGGAGTTCGAAAAATTTAATGAATGGCAGTTACTTTTTGAGTAGATTCTAGTTCTTAAGAATTCATGAGAATTTTCAAGAGAAGTTTGATAGGAGGCAGTTGGTTCTTTTTTGAGCTCTGTTTTTGGGTGTGTGTCTGTGCAGCACGTCTTTCTTTTGTCGTAGCCAGGGTATAAAAAATCGATAATATCGGCGATATTTCGCCGATATTATCGTTTTTTTCGGAGTTCGATATTTCCACACACATCCAATAGGTTTTCGTCAAAATATCGCGATATTATCGATAATATCGCGATATTACCGATAATATTGCGACATTTTAGAAATCAACCCAGAAATCAACCCCAATCTTGTTCCAATTGCAGATCAAGAAACAATCAAACAGATTCAACCCCAATCTTGACAAACCCTAGAAATCAACCCAGAAAAAAAAATCGAAATAAAACCTTATATTTTGAAATCAACCCAGAAATCTCATCGTTCATTCCGGCGGCTGCTTTTTCTACGACTGCTTCGTTCCTTCCGCTCCTTGGAGCTTCGCCGGAGAGGAGTTGCGACTATCGAAACCATTGGACTCAGTATACGATGCAGAATCGTTGTCAAATCTTCTGCGGCGACTCTTGGATAACAACAACGTCGACAACTCTTGGATGACGATGACGGTGCCTCCTTCATACTTCTACAGAAGGAGAGGTAAGAGTCTCGACGACGGCGCCTCCTTACTTCTGACGACAACGGCGCCCCTTTTTTCTGCGGTGACTCTTGGATGACGACGATGGCGTCTCGACGACTGTTGAGTCGAGACTGAGAGAGATGAGATTGGGAAATCGAGACTGAGAGAGATGAGATTGGGTTCAGACTTGAGAGAGTTCGAGAATGTGTGTGCGTGTCCGTGAATCAGAGATTCAGAATGAGAGACGGAGAGGAGAGGACTGAAAAACTTAAGTTGGATTGGACGGTTGAGATTAAATCTCAACCAATCCGACGGTCCACATAATTCTTAAACCTATTTAAATTAAACATATATTTTATAAATGTCTTTGTGTGCGTGTGTGGTGGCGTGTGAGAGTCTCTGACTCTATGTATGTGTGTGGTGGCGTGTGAGAAAAAAAAAAAGCATTCAAATAATTCATAGGGAACTTTAACAAAAAGCTCATGGTACTGTTCACTTTAACGAAAAACCACATTTTTACACTAAAAAGTCAATCTTGGTACTATTCATTTTACCCTTTATTTTGTCCTTATTGTTAAAACTCAAAGTTTTCAAGCCCTTTTCATTAGTTTTCCTTAATTCATAACCTTGTCTCTGACTCTTGACAACTTTTACAACTTTTGACAAGATAAAAAGTAATGGTGTTTCATCAAGATTCTAAATCACTCATGTATCTTACCCTGCAATGTTGTTGACCCTAGAAACTACAAAGCCTACGTGGCGCGCAGGCCGAGTAATTAATGAGCTAACTACGTCCTTCGGTGAATGCGGGGCGTGCCAACTCGTCGGCCGAGCTCGGCCGAGGAGTAAATTTGTTGATGTTGCGTTGGGTCGCGCTACTGACTTCTGCGTCTTGCGATTGCGGCCGAGAAAGGAACACGTCTCGGCCTCTTGGGCTCTCGAACCTGAAGACAAGGTTACTATTCTTACGAAGTTCGATATCAAATTCGGCTTTCAATGTGCCGAATGTAATAATTGTAACACCTCACTTCGCCGAGAAGGCTGATGAGATGACCTCGACTAATAAGGATTTAGAAACCCTTCTCAACCGAGACTTGGATAGGTAATCAATCGTTCTCGCCGCAGTGCTGTTGATGCCAACGGAAGATACTGCGAGACCGACTGACTCTACGGTGACAGAGCTATCTATGCCGACTTAAGATATCACCGGTTGCTTCCACAGTGCTGTTGATGCCAACGGAAGATGTGTCAGCGAAAAAGGAAAAAGAAAAATCACAAGTTGTGAGAGTTTGCGCAGGGCAATTTTGTATTGATTTGCAGGGGTCCTTAACTTGGTGCACTGAGTCTTGTATTTATAAGGTTGGATATCTGCTAGCTTTGGCCTGACGGATTTGTATTTCAATTGCACCCAAAGACTTCATGATGGAATATGCGAATCTGAACAACAATAGAGACTCTGCATGCTAACCCTATTTTATTCCCACTTTGACTTATATTTATCCCATCAGAAACTTTCTTATCTCATCAGAGCCTAGCCTTATCCCATCCAAAGCCATCACTTCAAAGTCAAACTCCTAATGCAACTATAAACCTTTTTTCTTCCACCATGCATGTCCATATGCATGCAACTTCATTAATCCCATTTAATTATAATATTAGCATCCTGCCAAAATATTTGATGACTATGATTCTTCCATATCTGTCAAGATCTTTGAACTCATCCGTCCACATCCCTTTGTGTTCTTTCTTGACCAATTTGCTTTGACCATACAGGATAATAAAATAATATTCAACGGCCTCGATTACTCGGGCCGATTGTGTAAATTCGGGCCCAAACAAATGTATAAAGTGTAAAATATTGTAGTAAATCATTATATATAAATGATTATGGTGTGTTTAATCTTTTTTTCATTAATTACTACATATTTTCTACACTCACAGTGTTTGCCAGCTCGCTGTATAATCAACTTAAATCAGTTAAATCCATCCTGCAATGCATTTCCTTCCAATTTTTTGTGATAAACTAATAGATAATTGACTAAATAAACATCCTGCAAAGTTTCAATAAAAATTTCCAAGTTTTTCTTACAATTTCCGTGGTTTCCATGTAATTTTTATCGATATCGATATTATCCCGATATTTCCATCAATATTTCCGTGTTTTCGGACTACCGATATTTCCGATATTACCGATATTTTCTTCCTTGGTCGTAGCCAGAACTCCTGTTTTTGGAGGATTATATATTACGCGTGTGCTAGTTGGCCTTTTGTAATAGTGGTACAAACAAAAGTTAATTGCATTTGTCTTTCGAGTTTTATTTGTTTAGCAAGACACGTTTTAGTTAATTGAACCCTATAAATTTGAATGAAAAAAGAAAATAAAACATTGTTATTATAAACAGAAAAACTTGTTTACGCAACCTTTTTTTTCCCTTTCATTGTTTCCTGACAATTTTGGTGGAAGTCTTTAGCTTTTGTACACGTCAGAATTTTAAGATTAATCAAATTCCAAATTAGATTTTCCTTTTTTACTTAACAAACTCATTTATCTATGACGTGTTTACCAAATGGAGTTGGAGGGGAAGAACGAAATTGCACTCTTCCCAAAGCATGTGCTTTCCAACGTTTACTAGCATTTAGAGAATCAGAAAACAGGTGGGGTCCACCCAATATCAATAATTGTCTAACTGAAAAAAAAAATTGAAATTCTACCATAAAACCAATATATTTAAGATCTTGTATATCTATATAATCAGTAATTGTCTGACCGAAGCAACCTTATGAAGGTCCTCGACATTTTACGTTGTTCCAAAGTCAATTTGATTTTGCATATCAACTAACAAACATAGATTATCCTAATCTCTAATAATACATATTCCTTATCAGCTAACAAACATAGGTAATCCTAATCTCTAATAATCTCACGTGCATAACAAAAGCCAACCAAGTGTATAGCTCTCTGTAGAACTTACTTGCTGGCCTTGTAGAATTGGACAATACAACTCACGAGCCACGACTTAAACATGGACATGTGTCCTTTCATGGGTTAGCTTTTAGTTTTATCTAGATGGATTGGAAAAGACGTGCAATTTGAAAATTCCACCTTCAATTCCTAGCTTGCGCTATATAAATAGTAGTGACCTCTTAATTTTCATGCATCGATCTCATCTGCAATTATCATTGTTGTATTATTTTCTCCACCATGGAGTCACCGATAATTACTATCAAAGTTATTTCATTCTTTTGCTCGTACATGCTTTTGTCGCACTTGCATCTCACCACTTTGAACCCTACTGCCTTTGCTTTGGAGGACTGTCAGTTTCCAGCCGTCTTTAACTTTGGGGACTCTAATTCAGATACTGGCGGATTGGCCTCATCCCTTATTGCACCAACCCCTCCTTATGGTGAGACATTTTTTGGTATGCCGGCCGGAAGATTCTCAGATGGCCGTCTCACAATCGATTTCCTCGGTATGTGTATTTGTTCTTTAACTACCTTACTTATTTCATAGTTTTCTCTTGCTTCTACTTATTTCTTATGTGGATGAAATTACTTATTGTTTCCAAACTGTTTCATTGATGATCTTGAAACTTAAAACAGTTTATCTTGAAACATCACTATATACTTTGTTCTAAATTATTAAATTAGTATTTCTTTTCTCATAGAAACGAAAGATTATATACCTTTTTTTTAATTAATGTAGGGTTTTTGACTTGGAATCTCTTATACACTCTAAGATTAAAGTTTGGAGAGGTATTCATCAATTTACCTCCTGAACTTGTAAGGATTGGCCAATTTCCCCCTTTTACTCTCATAATTAGTCAATTTGCACCCTACTGTTAATTTTTTTAATTTTTCATCTATTCTTCCGTTAAGTAGGTATTTGCATGACTGCCTTTAAAGGACAAAAAAGTCATTTTCCCTACACCTATCTTCTTCCTTTTCTTCGAACTTTCTCTTCTTCTTCCTTTTCTCTTTTTAATTTTTCATCTATTCTTCCGTTAATTATGAGAGTCGATGGAAGAAATTGGCCAAAATTAAAGTTGAGGGGGGAAATTGGCCAATGATCACAAGTTCAAGGGGGTAAATTGATGACTACCTCAAGTTTGGAAGAAGAAAATCGAACTTCAACCATGCATACATGTATAAAACGAATCCAAAAGCAGAATATTATTGTCTGAAACCGTGGAGCCGGTTGCCTTTCTGTTGAATCCAAAAGCATAGTTTTCTTGGTGTGGCCCATGTTAAAAGGAATCCATTGAAGTTTTTATACGCTTCTCAATTGTTTGTCACTTGCCATAACTTAACCTTGATGGGATGAAATTTTTTTAGCATGTAGGTCACATTAGAACATAATATTATTAACTCACGTGTTATAGGATAAGTGTATAACATAATTTATATGTTATGAATTTACGAAATAATATTAATTAATAAATGTAATAAGAAATATATATCAATAATACAATTTCTTGGTCATCTTGTGTTCT